GCCCAAGGGCAAAATTCAGAAAGGTTAGGAAAGCAAGGGGAATGGAAACAGGAAACACAGGGAGGAAGTAGGATAAGCGATGTTACGTTGTGGAGATGGGAGATGAAACAAAATATGTAAGAACTGTTGAATGGAAAACTGGTTTGCTCTGATTTTCAGCTACTGGCTGAGCAGGGAAAGGCTGATATGAAGTTGAAGAAAGGAGAAGTGGGAAGTCTCCTTATAACTAGTCCCCAATTTTGCCCTATTGCCAAAGAGAGCTTATCATTTGATAAACTGTCATGGGAATTTCTAGATCTTAAGAAGTCAGAACAAAGAGTTGGTTTGATATAAACTGTTGTTGTTGTTGTTAAGTGTTGTTGAGTCAGTTCTGACCCATAGCGACCCTGTTATAGGGTTTCTGAGGAGCAGCTGGTAAGCTTGAACTACTGACCTTGCAGTTCAAACAGCTTTGCAGTCTGGCACATTAACCCACAGCGCCATACCAGGAATCCTGATGTAAACTAAGTATCACTAATTTGGTCAGTTATTTACTTTTTTGTATAGCAATAATGAGAGAACAATAATTGCTCTTTGAAAGTATACTAACTACTTCTTTCAGGCTACTCTAGGCAAATAACTTTACTTTTGAAATAGCAAGAAAGGTTAGAATAACTGTCCAAAGATCACAAGTTTTCCTATCTCAAAATCACTCTAAACTAGGGAAATACAAACGTTTTTGCTTTCTTAAGGTTTTATACTCATGAAAGTTCTTGAACTTGAGGTCTGAAAACTAAATCAACTCCATTCTCTCCATAAACAGGTTAGAACCAATAACTTCTAAATTTTTATGCACTGACTGAAGAAATATGGAAACAAAAGTCACATGATTTGCTCTGCTGCATAACTATAGTTAATACTGAACATGTAGCAACATTTAACCTCATATAATGCAAAGAGTAAATATTTTAGAGTCCAGTGATCTGGACCCTAGCCCAACTGGTCTCAAACTTGTTATGGAATTTTGAGAAAGTTTCCAAACACCTTTTTGCCTTGTATTCTTCATTGTAAAACTGTATTGATAATGATATTGATAATGAGACTAGGTATGCAATAACAATATTGAGAAAACTATTATTGCTAATGTTCAACCATTTCAAGAGATACCATATGAACAAGAGCCAATGATACTCAGAGAGGAAGTCCAAAGTGCATTGAAAGAATTGGCAAAGAA